TTTCAAAGTATTCAGAATAAAGAAATAGTCTAAAGAGATTGTTTAGCATGCTAAACACAAAGATTAAGGAGGCTTGTTACGATACCCTAATGATAAGGAAGCATAAAAATCATTCTCGATATCTTGATTTTTCTTCTGATCCATAGAATGTTCAATTTTTGTTTTTTTATATGTACATATACATGTATAGTGATAGGTTCAATCTATTTTAAGATTATGAGTTATATTAGGGCTGTCAAATCGGGTCACGGGTCGGGAGTGTTGAACTCAAAATTGACCCAACACTAGTTGATCTGACTCGAACTTGACCCATTTTTCAAACGAGGCAGATATTTTAACCCAGGCCCGACCAGCGCGGGTTACTGAGTTAACCAGTCCCAACCTAGGGACACGTTCTCATTCAAGAGCTGAGCAGCGCCGACAACTAGCGGCACGACAGAGGCAACGGTAGCATCAACAGCGTGACTTGACGCGACGCAATGGCGACATGAGAGAATTGACGCGACGTGGGCAAACGCAGTCAGCACGGGCAATCGACGTGGCCAGTGCATTTTTGCTAGGTCAATCCGGGTGATTTCAAAGTCAACCGGAACCCAACCGATTTTTGAAACGGGTTGACCATGACCCAAAATTTTCAGGTCGTGTTTGTGTCGGATTTTTGGATTGTATCACACCCCTAAGTTATATATAAAGGATTTGGTTCATGATTTTGGTCCATTGTAATATGTCTCCTTGAATTGGAATGAAGAAAAAAATTAATCTATCTATAATATTGGTGTTTATTTTCAACCATTAATTCAATAGAGAAAAGGTTATATAACCAATACATAGAATCTTTATGGCTATACAAAGGAACAAAGCTAAGAAATTATCTTCATATGCTTCGTTTGAGACAGCTTTTTTGTTGCTTTCTAAAGAACCTTTCATGTATTGTTAGCTTTTTTGTTCCTTTCTAAAGAACCGTTTTAGAAAGTAGCAAGAAAGTTGTCCCAAACAAAACCTTAATATTCTGGGTGAAGCATCAAAGAATCTAAGAGTACGGTTATTAGTTAAATTCATGTATTGTTATTAGTTTTTTTTTTTCGTCAAGTAATTTGACTAGAAGTGATTCACAAACCCTAATATTATAAAATATTTATGAAAATTTATACATGACAAGGGGACTAGTCCTGTCATCTCCCTCTTTGACAAATAAGGGGTTCGGATGCTCATTGATGCAGACGACGAGAACCTCGAAGTTGGAGCTGTCACATACAAGGATGGCAGCATTGACAAAGGTGAGGAGATAGGGGAAGGGGAATGCAAAGTGGCTTCGATTGATGAGGTTGCATACATGAAAAAAGTTGGGGAAGGAGTTGTGTGTTTGGTAGAGGATATTCGAGGAGAGAGAGTCAAGGATTGTGATGTCAGGAAAGTGAGGGGCATTAGCAAGGGAATCAGCAAAGATGCTGTTAATGTTGGAGTCTGCTTCAGTGGGGATGGCACGTGGGAGGGGGAAATAGGCATAGCGTCCAGAGTGGATTGTTGAAGTGCGAAGGATGATGCCATGAGTATTTTCTTCGAGGTTGGGGGTATTTTGTGTGTCCATAGCTAGTTGATGTTGCAATTAATTCTATGTTGCTTTTTTTCTTTTGGATGAACTTTTGTCTAGTTGCTTATTTAAATTAGCAAAAAAGTGATAAATTTGTTAATTTAACTATTATGGAAATCATTTTATTTTTATTAAATTAGTAAAAAAGATTAAATGAAATATATCATCTAATAAATATAATTAATTATACTATATAAATTCAAATGAATATAAGAAAATCATTTGACAACTTATAATTTTTTTTTTTTAAATTTAGAAAGCTTCACATGTCAGTTTTAAAATTTTCAAATATGCTCAATTAAACTAGAAGCATAATATATTTAGATATCACTTGGTCATTCAATTAATAATTTAAAATTTTCAAATATGCTTTAAGCCCTTGATTTGATCACATTTGAGCTTAGATTGGACCAATTTTGATGTCGTATGTCTCACTGAAACGTTCAATTTAACTATTAGTTTATTTAAATCATAGTTTGGATGGTCCCAAATTTAATTTTTGGAAGTTTCCAATTCAGATATGCTTCTAGATTTGTGCTTGATCAAGTGATTTTTTGTTACATATCAAACACACATGGAGTTACCCCTCTTGTGTTCGAGAAATGCTTATTGAAGGTTACCACGAAACAAATTGGTTTGAACTTGTTCAAATTCAAATATAGATTTAAATATGGTTCGAACATAATTCAAATCCATCAGTATCATGCCCCAATGATCTAATTGAAAGAATTCTACTTAATTCATTTTATCTCATCATAAGAATTTAGAGATAGAGCCAAGTAAGTATCAAAATTTCAAAAAATATAAACATTCTCAGTTACATTTCACACCATTCAAAATAATCATATACAATAATCCAATACACAATTATGTCTAACATATAATATTTTGTATCATAATTATTGTAATTGTATTCTATTGTATAGTACACTATTTTCTAATCAATTTGATTCATCTTCGAAAATTGTACAAATCTTATTCATGCCTACAACTTAACTATCATATAAAGTTTTCAAAGGATGTGTTATTTCAATTTGATTGGATTTTATTTGAATCGTTTTTTTTTACCGGAACGGACTTAAAAAGTATTCTACGGTCCAGAGTATGAGTATTTTTGCTCGAACGAAACTTTCAGATATATTTTCCCAATAAGTAAAGTAGAGGTATTAGATTTGGCTTATATTAAGAAAGGTGCAGGTAGATCTAAAATGACTTGGTTAGAAAATATTAGAAATGATATTTCTTTATTAGATTTAAATGAGAATCTGATTCTTAGTAGGACACAATGGAAAAAATGGATTCATGTAGCCGACCTCACATAGTTGGTTAAAGGCTTAATGATGTTGTTGTTGTTTAAATATTTTTTAGAAAATTCTAGGAAGGGCCTATGCGTTAATTATAAAAAATCAGTTACAAGTAATTAAAGGGTTTAATAACCCACTAATGTTCAAAGAGCTACAATCAAAAAGACCAAAAAAAAAAAAAAACCTAAGAGTAAAAAATCCTTATTTAATTACAATCCAAAAATAAAAGAAAAAAGAAGTAAATATAAAGAAGATAGACAAGAAGCCAAACCCAAAAATAGGGGTGTCAATTTTTGACACGACCCGAAACACGACCCGAACCCGACCCGGAAAAATCCGGGGTTCGGGTCAACCGGAACCCGAAACGGGTCGGGTTCAGCAAATCAACCCGTTTTAAAAATCGGGTCGGGTCGGGTTGACCCAGCAACCCGAAATTGACCTGAAAGTGACACGAAAACTCATTTTTGACCCGAAAACCCGAAATTGACTCGATTTTTGACTCGAAAACTAGCAATTTTGGGTCAACCCCGGGTCATTCGTGTCGGGCCGAGTTGACCCGGACCCGAATAGGGTCGGGTTCAGGTCCAGAAACTTGACCCGTTTTTAAAAACGGGTCGGGTTCGGGTTGACCCTAATAGTGCCGTGTCAGTTCCAGGTTCGACCCGAACCCGACCCGTTGACCCGAATTGACACCCCTACCCAAAAATAAGCACCACAAAGCTTAGGTATTAAATAAGTACAAATAAGAAGAAAGACTGATAAAATGGTGGCGCGAAAAGAGCACATCCAGAATAAACCTACAGGCAGACTTGGTTACAATAGCCAAAAGATATCTAAAGAACGTAGTCCAAAAGAATATGAGATATAAAGAAATAATAAGAGAAAAAAATTGGTAAACCAAGAAACACAATCAAGAACAAAAAAAAATGAACATTTAAGATACAACAAAGGATCAAAGCATACCAACAATTAGGACCCAACCAATAAGCAGCAACAAACTAAGAAGATAAACCAATAAAAAGAAGCTCTTTTCTTATCTTCCACATTAAATAAATATTATTTTTATATACTTTAAATTTCATGAGATTCAATTGCTCTTTGAATTTAACTCAAAGGTTTCATCATCACAATTTATCTTTAATGGCCTCTAAGCACCAACAATAATATGAAGCAAAGTATATTAAATTTGTTACTTTTAACTATGGTGTCTCTTAGTTTTATTGATGTGTTGTTTTATAATAAACTAAGTATATGATGGATTTTTATGCCTAAAGCATTCCTAAGTTATTTCACTTTAAATTTATTTAAAAAAAAATCTTAGTTTAATACAATATATCACTATTTTGTTAACATGATATCATCGACATATAAAACTAAGAGAATAAATTTACTCTCATTTGCTTCAACGTTAATGAAATAAATGTTCACCTACTGGTAATTTGGAACTTTTATTTGCTCCGGTGACCTGACGTAGCTCTACGTTCGGACGCCAGTAAAATAGTGGCACGCGTTTTTACTTTTTACCACGCGGCCCGTCAACCCGACCCGGAACGGCCCCGGGATTGCTATGTTTGCATATTGCTAGGCATTGCTAGGTATTAGTCGATTTTGCTCGGCAATAACGAAAAATACCATTATGTGAAGACCAATACCGAGCAATACCGAGTTTTGCTAAAAACTCAGTATTGCTGGGTATTACTTGGTATTGCTAGATATTGGTCAATTTTGCTCGACAATAACGAAAAATACTATTATGTGAAGATCAATATCGAGCAATACCGAGCAATACCTAGCAATACCGAGCAATACCGAGAAATATGCGAACATAGCAATCCTGCGTTCCGGTCCGGGTTGTGTCATCGGGCCGTGCGGTAAAGAGTGAGAACACGTGGCGACATATTATTGACGTCCGAACGTAGAACTACGTCAGCTCACCTGACCTAATAATTGTTCCGGAATTTGACATGTGATTTGGAGTTCGAATGGGACAAATGAGGGACGTCATATGATGATATGGACTTTGGTTGAAGATGTTCTTAAGCTGCATAATCAGTGTCCAAAGAAGTGTTTGTTTATTGAAAGTCATATAACTAATAGAGGAAAATTCAAGCTAAAACCCTTGGACTCTTCAGCCGCAAAAAACCCAAATAGCAATCGGGGCTCTTCGTTCTCTCGCCTCCACCAGAGGAAAGAAACCCCTTTTCCGCCTTGCAGAGGCGGAAGAAGAAGAAGCCCTAACCTTTCTTCTTCGCTTTGACGTTTCGTATCAGATCACATTCTCGCCTCCGAAACTTTCCGATCAGCGGAAGCATGGGATTAGCGATGAGCTACGCCGCCGCACCACCACCGCCGCCTCCAACCCATTCTCAGACTCCCGTGGGACTTGGTGTGGTGCTGCCCCCTAAGACAGAAGAGAAGGTCATAAAGAAAGTCGACTTTCGGAATCTACCATGTCCACTTCCATTCGAGGAGATTCAGCGGGAAGCGTTGAGTTAGTATCGATCCTCTTGAATTTCGCCGTCTTTCTTTTTGTTTTCTTTGATTTATTGAACGTTTTTATTCAGTTGATTTATGATTGGAGTTCTATGAATTTCTTTTTAATTGTCAGTTTTTTGTCTTCAGGTTGATGTGCTTTTTTATGATGAGCTGATTTATGGAATGTTTTGTATACGTTTTACTTCGCCATTTCTCATGTACAACAATTTGTTTTAGGATTAAATTTATAATAATAATACCGAAAAGGTGATTGAAATATGCAAATGTACTTTTCCAATGGTCTGAGGGTTTGATGTAAACTTCTATGAATGAGAAACCTTGATTTTGGTAACATTTAGAACCTTCAAACATCATGTTTGGATGATTTTTGTTCAATATTTTTCTTTTGTAGCACTGCAAGTAAACACGCATGTAAAAAATGTGGCTTAAGGCATGATCGAGAGTATGGATCTTTTAATTTATTCTGGTGATATAATGTGTTGCAGGATACTTATTTGAGCTGATTTACTTATGAGATTGGATGAAGTCAATAGGTTTTTACTTGTAATTTTCTCATTGTTTTTTTCTTTCTTAGTTAAAAATTTCATATATAGTAATTGGTTTAAAATTACACTATTGAGACTGAATTTCATGTAAATAAGTATTTCTTGGAGATCTCTCTTTATTTTTTCTTCTTATTTTAAAATATTATTTGTAATTGGTTTAAAAATATGTTTATCATAATGTTGAAAAGTGTTTCAAATGTGCACCTGGTCTCTTCCTAGAATTTGAAGTTTAGGACATTTGATGCTAGAAAAAGCTTGATTTAGATGACATTTAGAGCCTCCAAACGCTATATAAAGATGATCATTTTGAATCGTGGCTTAGATAAGAAAACATATAGGAATTGCAAAAGCTTTCAAGTTTATTGCAATATTGACCATAAGTGTGATTTCAAGGTATGATTTGTTGGCATCCTTGATTTTAAACCATCATTAAAGTTTGGAGGTGCATCACTTTCTTTCTCTACATAATAGATTGTGTTTCAAGCTGCTTCTTCGAGCCAATGAACTAATCATCTGGGATGGGAAATCATAAGCTTTGCCTGCTACTAAGATGTTTGGTGTTGGTTGTTTTGGACAGGAGCAACAAGTCACTTCTTCTTTAGAGGAAATGGAATGCTTTAAATATGCTTTACATCGACTAAAATGATTAATAGACTGGATCTCTATTTTGTTGAGTTCAGCTAATCTTAAATTTTTAGCGCTGTGTATTTTGGTTCCAGCCATGATAAAATAATTGTCTTCCTTTGAAATGCATACTAGCTTCTTTCCCATGAAAGTCAGGTCCTCATATAGGATAATCTTCTTTTAGTTTATCAAAATTGGAGACTCTAAGTTCTAATAAAGATATTACTAATGCCACTCCAGACAGGGCATCTGTAGGCTTGTTGTCTTTTTCAAGCTTATGTTTTAGGATAAATGAATAATCATTTTGGAATTTTACCCACTTGGCATGCTTATAATTTAACTTAGTCAAGTGTTGACAAACTTCATGACATGATCAATGTGTTGGACAAATTCATTATGCATCAGTTAGTGCTTCAAATATTTCAAAGGCTGTATTATGACATAAAATTATGTATTTTAGTTAGATTACTTCGGCCTGACATTATTTAGCTTTTAACTATAGATGGCTATTGGTGATTTTCTTGGCTTAGGATACGCTTATATCATTTCTAGATGCATCACAAAACTTTTTTCTTCCTTCAAGATATCAATGATAAGAGTAACAATGGCATTAATGTTTTTGATAAATCTCCTATAGAATGTGGTTAGGCGATGGAAACTCTAAACTCAGTGAAACTAAAGGGGGTTAGCCAATCTAAGATTGACTTAACTAATAATCTGTTACTTGAAGTTTTGCTTCAATCTGTTTCCATTGATTAAGTTTACCATAATATTTATATTGGTTTTTTTTTTGTGTCACATTCTTGAATAAAAATTGCAGCTTAATATGTTGGTTTTTTTAATGTGCTATGCTGATTAATCACTATGTTGCTACGAACTCATCTGTGTACTAGGCCACTTCATATATTTTACCGCAACATCACCTTTTTTTTGTGTAGTGTCCCTGAAGCCAGAATTGTTTGAAGGATTGAGGTTTGACTTCACAAAAGGCCTCAATCAAAAATTTTCTCTAAGCCACAGGTAGTTAAGATCCAGTGTAATGGTTGTGATTTCCAGTAGCTTTTTTTCCTTGAGGCTCTTGATCTAATAATCATCAATCAGCGTGTTTATGGGGTCAATGGAAGTTCCTTCACAATCTACTGACACTATAAAAGTCCCTACTGCACATTATGAATTTGGTGCCAACTTTCTGGACCCTAAGGTATACTACTATTTTTTATCATTTTGTGCTTTTTGAGGCTTCGTTTGGGACGGCTTTCTTACTGCTTTTAAAAGTAGCTTTCTAGCACAAAAATTAAAGTTTTATACTAGAAAATTGCTTTAAGAAGCAGGAAGAAAGCTGCCCCAAACGAAGCATTAATTGCATCAGTTCTCATAGTTATCTTACTGTAAACAACTATGCAGTTGATGCTAGTTGGAAGAGTACTTACTGATGGTAGACTGAATGCACGAGTTAAGTGTGACTTGACAGACAATCTAACTTTGAAGGTCAATGCCCAGGTATTTCCTGATCAATGAAATTGAGATTGTTTTCCAAAGATGGTTCTCTACGCTGTTCTTATATTTAATAGTTTATTTGATATATTTATGTTTTTCTTTTGGCCAGCTTACAAATGAACCACATTTTTCCCAGGGGATGTTTAATTTTGACTATAAGGTTAGTTTTTTTTTTTTTTTACATTCTCTCTTTAGCTGTAATTCAGATCACTTACACCGTTATTTTTGAAGTACTTAAACCATTCATTCTATATCTGATTAGTTTGTGCATGAAATTTACAGCAATAATTTCTCATGTGATTACATGCAGCTAATTCTGATAACTTCTCTCTGTTATCCCATATGATAGGGAGCATTCTGTAATAGCCATCTTATTACTGTGATTTAATAGATGAGGTGACATGCATGCATTTTTTAGCTGCCTGAAATTTCTAGTTCATTTTGCTCTTATATGCAAGTTTGTGCCCTTATGTTAAATTTTGATTTCACATTATCTGGTCCATTCTTGAATTATATATTTTTTTTCAACTCTACTTATTATGTGGATTTGTGCCTTTTGATGTTTGAATTTTGAATTCACATTATGTAGTCTACTCTGAAGCTTTTTTTCTTTCCTTTTTTTGTGACTCTATGTTTCTATTTAAAATGTACAGAATTGGTTTTTGAAAATGTTGTTTTACTGGTTATGTGTTGGGAACCTGCACATCACTACAGAGACCTCTTAGAGTTGGATTTCTTGCCCCATAGGTAATTCAACATAAAAGGACTATTTATAGAATTTTTAGCATTTTAATTTTGGATTTTTTTGGTTTATAGTGTTTAGTTATTAGGATTATCTTTGTTTTAAATTAGATGATATGCTTTTTAGGAGTAACCTAGATTTCTGATGTAAAACGTAAATGCCATTTACTTGCCTAGGTGGCAAGATTAATTAAATCCCAAATTAATTTGGGGAGAGAGAATGGAAATCTGAAATTAAATTTCAGATTAAGTGGAATTGGCGGGATGAATTTGAATTTAAATTCAAATTTAATGGGGAGAATTAAATTGGATGATAGAGAATTGTAGGAGGTAATTAGGGAGGCTTAATGAGGGGGGCTATTAATGGATTGGCCTGGGGTGGCCGGCGGTGGACTTATGGGGGCCGGTGGAAGGGAATTTGGGAGGAAGAGAGTTTGGTTAGGTAGAGAAGAAATAAATTGGGTTTAGGAAAAAGAAAATCCGGAGCTACACACCTTGAGCAACACCTCCAATAGAACTCACAAAGAGATCTACAAGCGCCACTTCCTCAAGAACTCACAAAGAGATATTGAGAATCTCGGAACTCACAAAGAGATCTTGGGAATCTCGGAACTCACAAAGAGATCCTTCCACTTCCTCAAGAACTCACAAAGAGATCTTGGGAATCTCAGAACTCACAAAGAGATGCTTCTCCGCTCATGAACTCACTAAGAGATCAAACAAGTAGAACAAAATTTCATTAACAATTCATCATCCCATTACACAAGAAAGGACCTTTATATATAGGCCTAAGAAACTAAAACAAGACACATATGCCCCTAAGGCTTACATAGGACGACCCTCTTAAGTGAGGGTAAAAATGGAAAATTTATAATTAAAATTAAAATTTTCAAATAAAATATAAGATAACGTGGGACGATGACAGCCGTTGATCTTCAGCTCCTCGGATAGCCATGGACGGTTGGATGTCCGCATCAATTTCATTCCAAATTAATTGATTTAACGTTGTTAACCCTTTTTATATAAATAAGTTTTGAAAGTATTTTATTTGTTTATTGATGGAATGAATGAAAATTGAAAGATTTCCTTCTCTCTCCTCCCCTGTGGTTTCCTTTATTGTTCATTTAGTTGGTGGGTCGGCTCTTATGGATTTCATCATGATTCTTTTTGCAGATAGTTAACAAAAACTAAAACTTTCCCCATACCATCTTTTTTCTCGTTGTCACTATCATGCTGATGCTTTCTTCCTACGATAAAGTCCCGACCCAATCCCATTCTGCTTTCTTCCAACTCACTGACAACTTAATATTACCGTTGATACAAGACATCTATACTCACTGGAAACCAATGTTTACAACCGTGAAAGCAAGTGTTGAGGCATATGATTTACGACTCTAAATTCAGAAGTTTCTCCCACTCCGATCACTTATAGTGTCTTTCTTAGAATCATGACCATAGTTGATTGCTGTCTTGTCTCTCTCATTCTCATTTATATTAGCATCATCCTAGTCCTCCTCATCATCTATTACAATCATCTTTCTCTTCTGTGATCAACATAATTCAATAAGAATATTATTTTAAATAATGGCAATGATGATTTTTTTAATTTCTATGTTATAAAATTTCATACTAACAATTTTTATCACTTTTATTGACTTTTGTGTTTATTGTTCCTTCAGTTAAAAAGTCATTATTCAAATATTCCTCTTATAATTGTGACGGTGAAGGCCCATTTTTATTATCCACAAACCATTCAATATCCAATGGCTCATCATTACTATCTAAGGATCTTCGTCATCTTTTGAAATATTTATATCTTTTAAGTTCATGCTATGCATTATGTAAACTAATGAGTTCTCCTTAAGTACTCCCATTTGCTCACACTTTGATGATGAGTATGTAAGAGCCAATACTTCAATAGCAAATCTTTATCATTTGAGATTACCATCCGTAATTTGAATCATCCACTTGATTAATAAAAAGAAGAAGAAGACATGATGAGCATAGCATATAAAATATAAAAACTTAACCTAAAGATATCAAAGCGAGTGTCTATAAAAAATAGTTTTTTACTTGCTCGGAGAATGCTTGACCATAGTGTCTTTAGCTTGTTGTAATCTAGAGTTCCTTCATTATTTCTGAAAGCTACAAGTTAGAGACCAACCTTCTCTCTTTGTGCTGATTTAGCATTATTTCCATATAATAATACAAATCAAATTTAATTTTTGGATTTGCAGACTTGTTCTAACCATATTGATATTGATTGTTTAGTTGAATATGATTTTGTGCGAATATCAAAGTTTGAAGATCCCATTTTTTATCAATAATCTCTCAAATTTTCTTATAGTTACCCTCATCTCCGCCTAAAGCCTTTTTCGGTCAATTCCTTTGCCTCATCCATAGGATTATAAATGAATCCTATTGTTTGGTTTTTCTTTGCATCCACCATTTTCAAGACATAAACCATGGACATTGTAGTTGGGTTATTACAACTTACACTTTACAAAAATCTCTCATTTAAAATAATCTTTATCACTTCTTTCTCTTTAGGTTTCTTTGCCCAAGCACAATGTAACCACTATGAGAAGTGAACATTGCCCCTGAAAGTTTTCTTGCTTCTAAGATAATTTGCAGTGTTAAGTATGATGACAAATCTAGTGGGTGTGGGTGTAATGAGTTCTTTTTTATTTAACCCATCAAATTCAAGACTCAACTATGGTTGTAAATAAATTTGCTTATCTTATTTCCTTTAGTCAAAGCATTCTTATGTTGTGGCAATTCCAGAAGTTTCTCTAGTACTAATCAATACAATGTGTGTTACATGGAGGCTGATAAATATGCTCTCTTCTCCATCAATTTATTTTCCATCGCCTTATATGCACTTGCATTTTTGGTGAGACTTTAGACAATAGGAAGCTCTCTAATTTCTCAATAATCCTATCAGTAATTTAAAAATGTGCTATGCATATTTCTCCTGGTCTAATGCTTCAATAAACTTTAAACAGAGAGGGCCAAAGGGTTGTTAACAAGAATGTTGATCAATTTTATATTTTTGATATTTGACCAACCATCAAATGTTACTGTGACTTATGTTTGTAGCCATGCCTCCTTAATTTCTTCAATGATTTTTTTTTGGTAGTGTTCAATTCCCGTATCCAATCTTTAAATTCACATATGTATAGAGGTTTAAAGCCTCAATTATAGGAACCCATAGAATAAAATTTGGTGGAGAAGTTGCCATGTTGAAAGGAATTGTATCATCCAAGAAGAATTTTATTATTCAATTCATAACACCATATGGAATAGCCACAACCAATTCATTACCAAAACTCCGAAAGCTACATTATCGCGAATCTTGAATGTAAGCCAACCACATTGCCACAATGCTAAGTCCACCAGACACCAAAATTTTATAATAAAAGCATAGTCTAAAGCGTAGTTTATGCTGCTGATCAGCATAAAACCATTATTTTAAACTTCAAACCAAAATTAACACAAAAAGGCACTTAACATTTGTCAGGGCCTTGTGGAGACACTTGCAATTCATCTTGATTGCCTTCTTCGTTTACCAGGCCAAATATTTCCACATGGACATCATTAAGCCTGGCACCTACAAAAAGAAAAAATTATTAACATATGTTGAAATACCTATTTAAAATTATTCTACATAATCATCAATTTAACATTTCGTTGGTTGAGTATTGTTATCCCTGCCAGCATGGGTTTCTCTTAAATCTTCTCTTCCAACTTATCATAGTCATGTTCTCCTCTCTGATTTTTTTCCACCATAAAAAATTCTGTTTTATAAATACATTCATGATCAACAGGGACCGTAAGGCTTCTTGCTGTTGGCATGTAGCATTTGTTTATTTTTTTTTTTTGAATTTTTTGCTGTATTTGTTTGGGAAATCAAGACATGCAATTTTCTGTCCTATGAATAAAATTTTATAGTTTGAATTGTTTCTAATCACGCTTTATTGTTGTTATTTTATTTTATTATGATTGATGCTGTAACTTTGTATTAAGAACAGATGGTTTAAGTTTGTTGATGAATTTTTTTTTTAAAGACCATTTTGACTGTTTGGCACATTGCTTATACATTTACAAAATTCTAATGAAATAATAAATATTGCACTGAGCTTAATTGAAGCACCGAATTCTTTGAGGTTTAAAGAAATAATTTTTTTGCATTTTGCTTTCAAAGCTTCAAGCTTAGTAAAAAATTCAAATTTAAGTGGATTGTTTTGTTTGTTATTTGTGAAATTATGGAGTCATTTGATGTATTCTTTTTGTCAATGCCTTTTGACATGTTTTCTTTCATTTGAAGTTTGAGACCTATTGGGATAAATTGCCATAATTAATTATTTCTTGGTTTTCCTTTCAGAATGTCTTCTTTATAGGGTTTCCTAATGCAATTAT